GTCGCTATCTTGGTGTAGGTTTGATAGGAACACGTGGAGGCAAATAGTCAATCTCAAGCCCAACAAAATACGTGTTCAACTTGACTGAATGAGTGATAAGGGTTCATAGGCTCATTATGGAACTCATGCTTTTGTCCATTCCAAGTTATACCGGTAAAATCTGTGTAGGATTCAATTGAACGAACTACGCTCGACGATGTTGCTCGGCTAGTCGAGCGTTGACATTCGTTGGCTAAAGATGAACTTTGTTATTCATTGCATGATGAAGAACCTTGGGTGGTTTGACTGAATTGCCTATTCGATGTGCGCCTAGACATTGTTTGGGGTATGATATACACAATTAAGAAGAATAGTTTATATAGATACATAATGCAATTATAAACAAATTTGACAAGATGCGCACTACGTACAACTAACGTGACTTGATACTGATAAAACAATGATATGGCTTCACAGTGACAAAGTAAGGACATAATAATTCAATGACAAAACAACAGACATGGCTTGACACTACACTAATTACACTGATAAAGCAAAGATATGACTTCACAGTGATAAAGTAATGACATAACAATTCAATTACAAAGGACTGACATGACTTGATATTATACTGGTTTTCTATCTCAGAAATAAAAAATGATTACCACTATTCAATATATCACATTGGAAAAAATAATTGCATACTTAGTATATTAATTTTTTTTTTTTTTGTATCTGGTAGGATATATGCATATAATAAGAATTTAAAGATAAATAACATATAATTTAACACACAAAATTAGCGTTTTATCCACTTTTTCTCTTGAATTTGGAGGGATAAATTCTGATAACTTGTTATAAAAATTAATTCTTTTATTTTTTCATCTTTTTTATTTTTTTTACCAAATATGATATTTTATCTCTTCTTTTATTTTTTTTATTCTCCTATTGTTTCATCATACCAATCAAAACAAAAGTTAATTATTATTTGTTATTATGATATCACACATTTATTGTTACTTTTCTATATATGCGGTTTTACATTGAAAATGATAAATTTAAATTATGATTTTATAAATTAAACTAATAATAAATAAAAATAAATAATAAAGATAAAAAAAAAAAAAAAAAAAAAACAATCATAATACGGTTAAAAAACTCTTTCATTGTTATATAGGCGATTGTGCTTTTTGAACATTAACATTAAAGTAACATGAGACCGACATAAAGAAAGAAGTGGAAAAAATGGATCGCACCTTTTGCACATCAACCTGGGAGCTTCTATGTATTCCTTTTCTTAGATCGTCTCTTTTCCTCTTTTTTCATGACGAGTCCTTCCTCGTACTACAAAGTATGTATGCGAAAATGATAATGGTGTATAAGAGGAAAAAATGATGTCTAATTTATTTGTAATCTTTAAACTAATATTACAACCACAAAATTAAATTGTTCACTTATACAAGTGCAATTATGATCAAAATTGATTTAATTTTTATCAGTTTTAATTCAATGGTACAATTTTTTTTTCAACTTAAAAATATTTTTTCTCTACACAACCCCAATTTTTATATATATACAATATATATATGTAAATATAGTAATTATTATCCACCCTTGAAAACACTACCTATATAGCGATGGGCACTGAGTCCGACTTCGACTTCAACGTATACTGTCTCCGACTTCAACTCCAACTCCAACTCCAACTCCACTCCGATTCTAATTAGTGGAGTCAAATTGGAGATTCAAATTTGGGCCAATTTTTACTCTTTGTTGATATTTGAGGATTTAGGGTCCAAAATTTGAAAAATAAAATTGGGAATTTTGGTTCCATTTTTTGGCTAACAATCGTAGAAGAGAAGAATGAGAAAGAGAAAGAGAAAGGAGAGGGAAATATGTAGATAACGTGAACACAGAGAATGATACGACAGAGAGTGATATAGAAAAAGATTTACAAAAAAAGTTTCACAGTTCTCCTTTTTTCATTATTTATTGTCGAGTCCTCTATTTAAACTTTACCGTTCACGACAAATGCTTCGGCCGTTACGATTCTCCTTGTCCATACAATAAAAATGAAGAACAAGAGAGAGAGTTAGACTTGAGAGTTGAGAGTGAGAGAGAGAGAGATGTAGTGTATGGAGGCATTAGGCGTAAAAGGAGTTAAAATTTATATGTGAATATATATAAATTTTATAATAAAAATAAAATAAAATAATAAGTAACCGAAATCAGAGTTAGATATTTTTTGGAATAGATTTTGAACACTAACTCCGACTCCAATGAAGACAGAATTGGTCCAGAATCAAAATAGTACCGAATTTTTCAAATAATTGAACACCCCAATTTCCTTAAAACCCAACCCACACACGAAACTCCAAGGAACCAGACGCACCCGAAAGGTCGTCGTATGGTTTGGAAAAAGTAAGGTGCTTTTGACATATTTTGGAGTGGATTAGCCAATCATATTTGATGGGACATCCAAACCCTGACTCACACTAGCTGCCAAAGTGTCTTTTACTGTTGAAATGGATAAGAGTCTGTGAATCAACACACTTTCGGCCGACTTTAATTATGCCGTTTATAAAATTTGGAGATTCCTAGAATAATAAAAAAATGAATAAAAATGACATTACAATTAAAAATAAATAAAAATTACATTTTAGTCTAACTTCGACAACACCCTTTTATTTAATTATTAAGTTTCATGTTAAAACTCAAATCTCGTATATATTTTTTAATAATTTAATTTTGGATTAATCTCAATCTCAACTTGTATCCTGAAAGATCAGTCGAATTTTAATTTACATTCAAAGTTTAAAAATATCAATTTATACCCTAAAAGACTTAAATTTGTATTAATGTACACTTAGAGTTAACGATTGTCTATTTTACTGTTAAAAAATTTAGGTTAATTATAAATTATACTCTCAAAATTTAAATATTTTATATTTATGATCCAAAAAAAATTACGTCTATTAATACTCGTTAAATAGATCTCAATTATGACGTGTCGTGTCTAACATTAAACAGAAAATATCTGTTTAATGAGTATTGTTGATAATAAAATAGGTATTTTAAATATTTTTTAAATAATATTTATATGAATTGTCATAAATGTGAAATATATGACATTATATAACTGACTAGACAAGAAAATATTTTTTGTGTCAAAAATAATTTTTATTGACTCAAACACAATACAAAAATAATACAACATGACACAATGATACGACACAAATGTTACGATACGACAAAATTGAGAGGTATTTAACGAATATTAATAGATAAAATTATTTTTGGATTATAAATATAAAATATTTAAATTTGAAAGTGCAATTTGCAATTAGCACGAATTTTTTTAACTGCAAAATAGATAGTAGTTAACCATCTATGTACATTAATATAAATCTATGTCTTTCAAAGTGAAAATTCATATTTTTAAACTTTAAAAGTACAAATTAAAATTTGAATTATCTTTGAGGTGCTATTTGAAATTAAGACATAATTGATTATCGAAAATCTTATAAAGGAACAAAGTGAGCATTATAACATCAAAGGTATGCAAGTGGTCCAAAGCATAATTTATCAGAATTCAACTGGTAGATTGACCGGATTAATGATTTATTGGTTTAATTGGTAGGTCAATTGATCAGACGGGTTAAATAATAAAAAAATTATAAAATATAATAATTTATCTAAAGAAATTTGAAAAATGATCATAATGCATACAATTTATCATGTCATAATCTCTGGTCAAGTCTAAAGTCATAGTTTTAATATTATCATCCCAATAAAATACACATCTTTCAAATATTATAATCTTTAATCTAACATAAAAACACATCCAACACAGAAGTCAATAAGATTTATAGATTAACTCCAAGACTTACAGTCGTGTATGTGAGAGAGAGAGAGAGAGAGAGAGAGGAGAGACCATAGGACTTACAGATTAACATAACTCCAGTAGAAAGAAAGAGAAGGAGAGATTGATAGGCGGAGTTCGATCGAGACTTCGAGTGGCTGTGCGTCTGGAGGAGAAGAGAAAACAGATGTCTGTGTCGATGATTTAGGGCTAAAATTGTCTCAAAAATAAGATTTTTTTTAAAAAAGTAACAATTGACCCACCCGATTTTAATAAATTATCTGCTTCATCGATTTTTGATTTTATGATTCATATTTGGTTGGACTGCACAAACGGTTTGTTTAAATAATTGGATCGATTTAGGGCACAGTTCACAAATTCTACAGACCGATATAGTCCAGTGTTCACTAGTCCAAAGTGTTACAATTGAATTTTCATTTTCCCTATGCAACAAAAATAGCATGTTTAACACTCGGTGAATTCTTCATTTCTTCTTTTAATTTTTTGTCTATTCTCAAAAGTTATTATTTTGTTATTATAAATAATAAATACTACAATATGATCCTAAATGTAAATACTGAATTTTTTTTCATTTTTCTCTTAAACCACTTGTTCCAATAAACACAACTTTATTTAGCTCATTCGTTTTGATTTATTTTACGTTTGGTAGCTTAAATATGTCAAGAAATTGATCACCTATTGACTAATTTTCATGTTCCTTCTGATAGTTTAGTTGTGTAGAGCTAATCAAATATTAGCGACGTATTTGGTATTAAATACTCATAATATTAGAAAACAATTAGTATTTAAGCTACATTGTTATTATTATAACATCCGGTTCTCAAAATCTCTATGATTGTCTTCAAAATAAATTGTTTGAAGGCAATTTTTAATTTTTGATATTAATTATTAAGAAAATAGTATGAAAAATATGATTATTATGTATTCCATTCCGTTTAATCAATAAACTCATATAATAAAAAAAAATTACATTTAAAAGTACAATTTAGAATTGATCACTGTACAATGTACCGCGGTCAAACTAGAGTATGAGAAAAAAAAAAAAAGTGGAATAGTCCCGGTGTACTTCTTTTTTATTCAAACCCCCAAAGTTCCAATAAAAACAAAAACGTGTGTAATTGTCCTCCGATCCCACCAAATACAAAATCTTTCAAAACTCCCACAAACTTACAACTCTCTCTCTCTCTCTAGATTCCCGCACATTTACAACTCATCTCTCTTTCTCTCTCGATTTCCGCACAGTTACAACTACTCTCTCTCTCTTTCTAGCTGCATCTATATATATAGGTCATTCCAAAAACCTCCTTAAATCCCTCACCAAACCGGCAAACCTCAAGAAAACGATCAGAGAGAGAAACCAAGCAAACTTAAACTGATTTCAATAAAAGGGCTTCTTTTACGATGATGTTTCACGACGGGAATTACAACGATCGGTGGATGATCGGCAGTTCGACGCAATCCCAGCCATCCACGTGGACACGAGTAGAGGACAAGCTCTTTGAGCAGGCTCTGGTGATGTACCCAGAGGAAATCGCCGACCGGTGGCAAAAGATCGCGGAACGAGTTCCGGGAAAATCTGCCGAGGACGTGATGGCCCACTACGAGGCTTTGGTTCATGATGTTTTGGAGATTGACTCGGGCCGGATCGAGCTGCCGAGTTACTCGGACGATTGCTTTGAGTGGGAGACCGAGTCCGGCGCGAGTCAGATATCGTTTGGGTCGTCGGGAAAGGTGAAAGGGGAGGTGGAGAGGAAGAAAGGAACTCCTTGGACTGAAGAAGAGCACAGGTACTTGTATTTTATTTATATGAAATTTGTTTTTGAGAAACAGTTGTGCTTTCAGGAAGTGTTTTATTTGTTTGGGTGTTTTTATGCTGCACACTTTTGAAGTTGGAGTTTTTTAGTTTCTTGGGTTAAAAATAGAAAATTTGCTGAAAGAAAAGAAAAACTAATTAAATATTGAGATTTTCTTAGATTTGCTTTTCTATTAGTATTATTATTATTGGCTAATTTGTTGAAATGGGTTGAAATTTGATTGGAAGGTATGTTATCTAGGATGTTTGGATTTTGGGTTATATTTATAGGCTTTTTTGTTGTTGAACTTTAATTTGGATAATGAATTCAACCGTTTGTTGTTGGCTCTAAAACTAATGAGAGAAATGTTTTTGGTTTTACATTATTCCTGTTTGGTTTATACTCTGTTTGGCTGTTGAGAAAACAGAGGAACTGGAAAGGGAAATGAAGCTCCGAGATTTGGCCTGTTGTTCTGGGGTTTTGAAGAGTTAATATCTTAACTGATATGATACACACTATGTGACATTTGATTTAAGATTTGGGTCTAAATAATGCAAAAGAAATTTCAGGGGTATGTTTAGTTCGAAGGCAAGGAAATTTTTGTTTAATGGGGACAAAGAAATTGCAAACAGAACTGAGATTTGGCTGTGGAGAAAACTGGGGAATTGTAAAAGGAAATGAAGGTCCGAGATTTGGGGTTTTGTTTACCTTAGCATGCCAAATAGAATTCAAGGGCATGCTTAGTTCCGCGTATAGGACTTTTTTTCGGTTTACTGGGGACTAACAAATTGAAAACAGAATTGAGATATTCCTCGTGGAAGGTTTGGAATCTAGTTTTGGAGTTTTGACCTCGAGTTAGGGGATCATTTTGCCGTAGCTTGCTCCTGAGAAACCTAATAGGCTAGGGCGGCTTTAGAACATGTTTAGCTTTTGCGAAAGAAACTCTTGCTATTTTGGTTTCAAGAGAGAAATGGGTTCCAGAAATGGCTCCACATGAACCAAACATGCCATTAAGCTCTTATATCCTCTCAGCAAACCAAACAGGGCAAATGAATTTAATGTTATTGTTATTTTCTTGAATTTATTTTGTTCGTGGATATGTGTTTCATGTTCATTGGTCAGCCTGGTTAACATCTTGTGTGTGTGTGTGTTTTTTTTTTATTTGAATGTCAGATTTAGAACTCTAAATGAATAAACAAATTTGAGAACTCTAGTTTTGCACACTCGTACTTATAGACTGAAACAATTTACTTCTATTAGTTATGTTAGGAGGCACTCTTTTTAGTAGGAATGGAATAAATTAACAACCTAATTGCCTAAGGTGAAGCTTATTTTCAAGATGTCCTTCAAATAAGCTGACAGCATGGTCTGATAGTCCGCTTCATAAATTATTAACAACAAACCTAGGTTGTGACCTTTAGTGCATGGTATGATGTTTCATAGTGCCATTAATGGGTTTGAATTTATGGAGATGAACTTCTGCCAGCATAGCGGTAATATTATGTGTGATGCTACCCAGAATCATTAAATAGTTAAAAAAAAAAAAATCATCGTTCTGTCTATTTTTAGCACAACATTTTCCTTGTACTACCAGGATGGTTGGAAAATCTAATATTATTCCCTAATGCTGGCATATGTTCCATTATGCCACTACACAACATACCTTAGTTTGAAACAGTTTGGTTATAATGTTTTCGTGATATTGACCTACTTTGATTTGGTCTTGTCACAGGTTGTTTCTAATTGGGCTCGATAGATATGGCAAGGGTGACTGGAGGAGCATATCAAGAAATGTGGTCGTAACAAGAACACCAACACAAGTAGCTAGCCATGCCCAAAAGTATTACCTTCGTCAAAACTCGGTGAAGAAAGAGAGGAAGAGGTCAAGCATCCATGACATCACCACCACAGTGGATAGCACGCCCGTACCTCCTCCAAGCAATTTCCCCAATCAAGAAGGGTCCCTAGGGTATCAGAACTTCGGCTTTCCTATGTAAAGATGAAGAAGATTAGAGCTTCATAGGCTGTACATATAAAAGGTTACTTACAGGTGGCAATCTCAGTTGTTAAGTTCTATTCTTTCTTAGCTGACAGTTATTTAGGATTAGCACGGGAATACGAGAATAGGGTGTGTGTGTGTGTGTTTATTTTTTTCGAGTCCTTTTGTGAACTTACTGGATGTATCTATAGAGGACATAGATTGGTCATATATACAGAGATTTTAGGTGTGAAAACAACAGCAAATGAAATTGACTGGTTTTTGGATTGTAGCCCTGAATTCTATTGAATGGCCTCTTGACTTCTTTATGCTGTCCGGTTATTGACAGGAGATGGTGTTATGTTGAGTTATTTACCAAATTGCCCTTTTTTTTAAACAATTTTATCAAGATACGGCAGTTTTAAAACAATTTTAACAGCGAAGTTAACAGATACGTTTTTACTAAAAAATGAAGTTAGTAAATTCGTTTTCATACTTTACATGTAAACAATAAAAGAAAGCGTGGTTGAAGATTCCACGTTTAATGAAAAAGCGGATTCAATAAATTCATTTTTTCAATGAAAGCGTAATTATTGAATTTGCTTTTAAATTAAAAGCGACATCTTCATCCATGTTTTTAGAAAAATGAGTCTGCATAACAAATTTGTGTTGACCAGGAAAAATAGATTTATTGAATCCGTTTTTACATTAAAAGCGTATTTGACAAGTCCCCTTTTAATAAGACGGATTCAACTTAACTTGTTTTTTGGCAGCAACAATATTTTTCAATTTTACTATTTCTATTTTTCAATTTTACTATTTCTATAGTCCGATGTCCTTTGGTGTTTTTTAAAAAGATTACACAAAAATAATAATATATCTACATTTTTATGGATGACACAAAATGAGGGGTACGTTTTTTTTGGCAACTGTTCAAAAAGTGAGTGGTAAATTTATTTGACAAAAAACTTCACAATCAGCTTAATTTATTATGTAAATAACAAAATAGTTAATATATTTATCTGAAATAGGAATATAAATGATCATGTTCATACAAAATGCAACACAAATACAACAATATATATTTTTTTTAATGAGAACCATATTCTAAATAACATAGTGGTTTGCCACGTGCGCATAGACTAGTAGGGAGAAATTTTTCATACTCATCATCAGGTGAATCATCAAAATCAGATAATTCATGGTCAGAAACTAGTAATGGATCGAAAAATATTGCATTAATAGCCTCGTTAGGATCTAAATGCTCTATCTTTGCCTTATTGATAAAGTGGAATCGATCTAGACGTCGTTATATTTGATCAATTTCACGTTCTAGTTTTGCTATGATATCATTATAGTTGTCTGTGCACCATTCCATGTACATTTCAGCTGAATGTGCCTGTGGTGCTCGTAATCCATGCCAACAATAGTATACTTCCACCTTGGTCCTCATAGGTGGTAATAGAACTCTAGAGGCGGAACAATTGTTGCAGGTTCAATAATCACATGGCCGACTTTTGTGAAAGAGTTATGAAAGTTGATTAGCTCATTATGAAAGTCACACAAGTTTTTATACCACGTTACACCACTGGAATCTGTGTAATTACCAGGTTCTAGTATACTGAATGATGACGTCCTTAGATCCTAGTATGTAGCATGATGTTGGCAATCATTGCTCAAGGAGAAACCATTGGTCATTCAGCCTGAAGACCCTGATGATGACCTTCTAGTCATTTCACTGTAGGAAAAATGCATATATATTTACCCAAAAGTAATGAATAGGCACATAATTGATCAATAATGCTCAATAATCGCTGGAAACACTGAGATGGATAGTCACTTAATACACTAAAAACACAAGATGACTAAACACTGAAACTGACAAGTGTAGTCAATTCAATAGGCAATATGGACACAATAGAATATGATTAAAGACTCACATGTTTAGTTTGTTCAATAGACTGTAATCACACATTAGGATATGATTAAAGACTGACAATGTCAAAATATGACATTGATAACATTGAAAAAAATTTATATGACATAGAAAAAATAATGCTATGACTAAACACAGACAACCCTAGTGGGAGTACTCACACATTGAGAGTATGTTCAATAGGCAGTACTCACACATTGAGAGTGTGTTTTCATTGCTGTGACACGGTTTAGTATGACTGAGAAGGGAAATAATTTTCTACACATTGTGTAGTCAATTCAATAGACACTAGTCACATAGTGTGTTGTCAACTTTCAATTCAGTACTCATCATTGTTCAGTGTGTATAAGATTGGCTGCAGGGTTCAGTGTTTAATCCATTCACCATTTATTGTCACACAATCATCTTTTTAGTGTTCTTCCAAGGGCAATAACTCCAAGTTCTAAAAACTGAATTGATGTATACAATAACTCATCTCATGACTTGTACAATAAGCTAGCCAAACCGTGAGCATTATTGCATAACAATTTCATTATAAATTCATCATGTGTAAACGCCCTCATTGTATACTTACCAATTTCAACAATGAATTATAGTCCACGCTCCTTGTTTGAAACTATGGGTTATCATTGGGCTTTAGAGGATGAGTTATTCTATCCTCTAAATCCACGTTTACGTTACTCATAGAGGTTCAAAAATAGAATGATAGAGCAAAGACAATATCGCTTGAATCAAAGGGAAGTTCTAAGTGAAGATTTGGGCATTTGCAATATATGCAGGCCTTGCCAAATTGCATTTAATATGCCTATTGACACTCCTCAACAATTGGAACGTGTATTGTTTAGTATTAGAGTTAAAAACAATCGTATGACAATACGTTCAAATTGATACAACCTTCGTTGCATTGCACACGACCGTGCTAAAGAAGGTTTGCCGGACGAAGGACGTTTATGCTTCCAACTGAGTGGGGGAAGCAATATGCGTTTTGATGTTGAAATGTCAAATGAAGAAGGTTCCCCATGATGTAACTTATAATTATGTTGTAGGTTATGGGTTTGTGAATCTATAACTATATTAATCTATCTATACTTTCATTTTCAAAAGTTGGAATTATGGGTTTATAGTCGTAGTCTGTGGGTTTTTATGTTTGTAGTATTGTGTGTCTATAGCTGTGGTAGTCAATTTGTATTTGCATTTTCAAATGTTGTAACGTGTGTGTTTATGCTCATAGTTGGTGGTTTTTTATGTTTATAGTAATATTACTTTCATTTTCAATTTAAATTACATGTATTGTGTATTGTTATATGTTAACATAAGTGGAGTTTCTTGCTTGGAGAACATAACAATCAAAAAAATATAGTAGACTAATTTGGAAAGAATGTAGTATGAAATGGAGGTATACACACTATAAATAATGTATATTTAAAAAAATTTGAGCAGAATTTCCCCTTAAAATTGAACCCCACCATTATTTTAACCTACATATACAATATTACCACTACCATATCATATACTACCACAACTACATCCATATTGGAACCATAAAACAACTATAAGACCACACCCATACCCAAACCCAAACAAACTCACACCACAACCAAAAGCATAGACAAAACCTCCACACCACCACCACTAATACAATCAATATGCATACGTACTACTGTAGTTACCTAGAAAATGATAAAACTACTTTATTACATACAAATGAACATGTTCATAAACTGAAAAGACAAAAAACTATATGCCGCAAGTGGGCTTCTTCTGCAGCCATTGCAAACGACATGCCTCTAACTCCTCCTCCTCCTCTTGAATGACTTGTGACACATCCTCTTTGACACCAAACTCTGTAGTCCTACCTCGAACTATGCCTCAACCTCCTCGACCTCTACAACCTCAAGCTCTACCATCTCGACCTCGAAAATGGGAAATAAGTTGGGCAAGTGGAGTCGTATCAACATTTGAATCACGCTCATGTGTGACATCCTTTACTGGTCGTGACAACTCTATATCATGCGAAGGCGATGACAAGCATGCATCCTCTGATGATAGTGACATCTATACATCATATGTAGTTGAGGTCGAGCGTACATCCCCTTTTGGTAGTGACGTCCCTACATCTTATGTAGTCAAGGTCGGGTGTGCATCTTTTGTTGGTAGTGACATCTCTACGTTATGTATAAGCGATGTCAGGTGAGCATCCTCATCCTCCAATATAGGTTGGCTGGGAGAACCATGTGTCTAATAGGGATCACCTATAGCTGGTGTATGCGGCGAACTCCTAGTGGATGGTGTCTGACAAGGTACACTCGGGGATGGTATATGCTGAGATTGGATAACAGATTATGACTCACGAGGTACAGAAGGGCCTGATGTGTGCGATGGTAAACCCGATTCCAATGTCTACACAACTACAATCAAAGCTGGTGTTGTGTCGACATTATTATGTATTTGACTGGCTATGCAGGGATGATAAGGTGTCGATCATCGTATAACAACCCATGAGGCCTCGCATGTGAAGGGTACGATCCATGAGGTACGTACTGTGGTATGGGTGCAGGCTATGATGCAAACATTGGTCCTCACAAATAGCCTAAAGGTAGGTGGAGCTAAGAGATTGTGCCTCACGCAGTGCCTGTGCAAGTCCTGTATCCATACCAACCTCAAGAGCATCATTTTTGATTTGGTGAATCTATACGAGGGTACTTTCCTGTAACAATCAAAATTATTTATTCACGTAAGTAATCATAAGTATTTGGAAGTATTTGTATTATACAGATATTACTGATCAATGAACACATATCTGAACTTACCAATATATCGACGATGCTATAACCATAGGTTGGAATCCGACATGGGGAGGCCTATCTAATGGAGGTCCAATAATTTTCCTAGTGATACACCTATACAAAACCATATACAGGTCACTAAAATCCTAGAGTCCTATATGTTCCTCTCCTGTAACAAAATTCTCCTAATGATACTCCCATATTTGTACAAATGACTGATGTGCACTCTCCAATCATAACCTGCCCTACCATGTCGATCTGTAGCATGAAGTGCACCCCTAGTGTCGCTCAGGTAAATGCCACTCCACCACCGTGAAGTAGATAAGTGGTTCTCGCATCATCCATATGTTATTACCAGTCATTACAATATGACGGTAATTTTTCTACGACATTTGGAGTATACGACATCCACACCATCTATGATCATATAAATAATCAAAAAACGTTAAACTCATTATTCAGAATTAGTGACTTGTTAAACTTATGAAAGAACCACAAAACAACTTAATCAGAGCACATCTGATCTAGTTGATCTCTATAATGCCTGAGCACATGTCTCAGATTGTGTATACCTGATGTTACACATACATG